TGTGCCACATCCCTGAGGAAATCACTGCAGGAGCTGCCTGACCTTTACAGAACTGTTCCAGGCACTTGGAGCAATCTGGGGTAGTGGAAGGTGTCCCTGCCCATGGAATGAGATGGTCTGTAAGCCCCTTCCAACCCAAACCAGTCTGGGAATCTATGAAGTTGGATCTCATCTACCTTTTCCCCTAAAGTTAGACTGCCAGGCAAACTAGTTTTTCTGGGCTCCTGTATTTGGAGATGGACAGTTCTGAATGGTGGTTCGGTTCTTCCACAGAGGAATCTTAAACCAGTCTCTCTTTAGTGACCCCAAAGGTGACTGCTCTCTCTTTAAGGACTGTAGCCACAAGGACTGTACAGCACAGACTTCCCATTCCCATTCCTTGTCCCTCCTTGGTCACCAGGATGCACTATTTCACCTAAATACCTCCTAATGGCTGAGCAGGGAGTTGGGCCCGTGGTGAGGATGATAACCCAAACCCTCCCAGCTCCATTCCCTGTTGTACTCTATCATTGCTACGGCCAAAATGGAATTAAACGAATCCAATGTGGGAAAAGCCAGGAAGAAAGTCCCCCATGACACAGCAGGGATCTTGCAGGGTTGTTTTGGCTGAGCCTGCAGCACAATGAGGCTGGAGAAGTCTCTGCTTCCTGACTGGAAGGACCTTGAGTCCATGGCTGGTGTATTCCTTGGATTGTGCTGAGCCAGCCTGAGCAGGTCTCATTGTGGGATAGAAAACACACAACAAACCTGTGATGTTTATGTGTGCCTGGTTTTCACACCTTCGTGTTTCAGAGCCCAAGGACCTCCTCCTCATTCTCCTTCTCCTCCTCTTCCTCCTCCCCACAGCTGAGCTCCTGCTCCACCAAAGGACACATTGCTCTCTCTGCTCTGGGTTTTGCTGATAAAACTGTGGCATTTCCATCCTGCATCTTGGCCTGGACCAGAGAAATGAGGAGAGCAACAAGCTGGGCAACTGATGGATTGATCCTGAGACTTGGATTCCCAACAGACAGCTCAGCTCTGAGTACTGGGAAATCAGAAGGATCCTTCCACATAGCACAGCTTGGAAACACAGCTGAGCACCCATGCCCAGCCACTCCCAGTGACCCCATGTATCCCTCACAGACCAGAGGTGACATGGGACAGCTCCAGCCAGCTCTGCCATCCCTCCTTGTGAACACCTATGGAGGGAGCACGTTCTCCACCCACCTATGCCAGCTGCATCCAACACAGAGCCCTCTCCCTGAGCAGTGCCAGCTCCTGGGCTCTAGAGGAGGAGGAGGAGGAGGCTGCAGGTGTTTCAATGCCATTATCAGCCCTGAATCAGTTTCCCACCTCCAACACAGCTTTTATTCACTCTGTGCCTCCCTGCTTGCTCTGAAAAGCTCTGTTTCTCCTTGTCTCCTGCTGCTCCTGCCTCTGCTCCCTTCTCATCCATCACCAGAGTCCAGCTGGGGTATGGCTCTGGCACAGACACCCTTTGGAGGTGCTGGCAGGGGGTGGAGGGGCTGGTCACAAGGCTGGCTGTGATCCCCAGGACGTGCCCAAGGGGCTCTTTGGCTGAGTTGTGGCTGCACCACCCACAGATGCAGGTGTGACACAGCACAGTGACTGATCTGGCTGGTGGCCACACTCGCAGATGAGTCCCACAGCTCCAACACCCACCTGGAAGCTGTGAGGAGCAAGCCAAGCCTGTGGATCATGGCACTCAGCAGTGTCCTGCCAGCACAAGGGCAGTGTGACTCAGGAAGGAGGAGGAGAGTGGAGATGAATAAATGAACCACCACGTGCTGTTGGAGCAATGCCTTGGGCATTCTTCACTGGGAAAAGCCTCTGGAGCCACACCTGGCTTGGGCAGCATGTGAGCAGGTGCTGAGTTACACTGAGTTATCCAGGAGCCAGCTCCCTGTCCCAGGCTTCCTTAGGCTCTGTAATGCACAGCTCCTCACACACTGCTGCCTCATCCATCTGCTCCACTCCAAATGCTCATCCCTAATGTGAAGCCTGCTCTTTCCCCTGCTGTTCAGGGCTCCATGGCTGGTAATTTCCCTGGCATGTAAAAGCTTTGGAAAATTATTGTAGAGCACAGGTTCACACCTTGTCACAAAGAGGCGAAGTTTAATAAACCATGGAGCCAAACTGTTGGATCCCTGCATTAATGCAGGTGAGCAGCTGGAAACAGCTCCACAGAAGGAATTCTCAGCAGGATGCCCGAGGCAGAGCACCCAGAACTTCTCCAGCAGCTGTTTTGCTCAGCTGCTCCAGCACTGGCCTCTGGGAACAGTGGCTGCTCTGAACCAGAGCAGAGGAACAGTGCCCCGGGCCAGAAGGGATAAAAGTGCCAGTGCAATCTTACAGATGTCTAGAAAACATTTTCACTCCCCTTGGTCACGCCTCCTGCACCTGCAGAGCTTCTAAAGATGAGCCCAAGGTGTCTCTGGAGTACTCAGAAGTTTTCTACATCCCTGTTGGTCTTCTTTACCCAGATCCAAATCTCCACTCCACACATGTCCATAGGAATATTTGCTGAAAGAGAAAAATATGCTTTTTACCACTGAAGCTTTCCTGTGCCTCTTGGAGCAACTTTGTCCTTTCCCAAAAAATCAGAGTGCTCCACTCAGGCCTGCCAGGGAGCATCTCCAGGTGCTGGTAGCTGGTAGAACCAAAGCTGACCAAGCTGGGGCAGCACAGGGAGCTCTCCCCGAGCTCAGCCCGGGGTTTGCAGCAGGGGGAGGTGATTGTGGGGATGATCCTCGGGGAAAGGAGGGCAGATCCACGGCATTCAGCCCCCACAGCCGTGGGCTGCACAGCCTGGGCTCTTGTTCCCACTATAGGATCCACCCACTGCCGTTAATGATTCACATCACTCACTCGGATCACTTAACCCCTTCTTACAGCCTGTGCCTAAAGCTTGCCCAAGCTGCTATTTCATCACATTCCCATTTCATCTGTTCATTAGTGCTCTGGCTGGCAAGGGAAATGCTTCAGGAGCAGGAACTGGGGGCCATGGTGGGATTCTTGGGGTTGTCCTGTGCCAGGCCAGGAGCTGCAGTTGATCCTTGAGCATCCCTTCCATCTCAGGATATTTTCCTACGATTCTCAGCGATTCCATGAACTCTGTAGGGAGAGTTGTGCCTTCCACTGAGAGTTTTGGCTGTGGAATGGCAATAAATTTATGGGCACTGGTTTCATACCCTAAAATTCCTGTGTCTCCCTGGCAAAGGATATTGGTGCCATCATCTGTCCAGCCCCTCTTCTTTCTCTGGCTCTGCTTGGGGTCTCCCAAACTGAGTGCTCTAAGTGTGATCACTGTGCACCCATCCATGAAACTCAAAGGAGAAAAGGAGGCTCAGGGGGAACCTTCTGGCTCTGCACAACTCCCTGACAGGAGGGGACAGCTGGGGAGGGTCGGGCTCTGCTCCCAGGGAACAGGGACAGGAGGAGAGGGAACGGCCTCAAGCTGTGCCAGGGGAGGGTCAGGTTGGACATCAGGGGAAATTCCTTCATGGAAAGTGTGGCCAGGAATTAGAACAGGCTGCTCCAGGAGGTGGTGGAGCCCCCATGCCTGGAGGGAGGGATTTAAAAGCCATGTGGATGTGGCTCTTGGGGACACGGCTCAGTGGAGGCTTTGGCAGTGCTGGGGAGCAGTGGGACTTGAGGGCTTTTCCCACTTAAACAATTCCATGATTCTCTGTATTTAGGAATGGTTTTGGCTACCTGTGGTTCTGGAGTCTTTTCCACATCAGTCTGGATGCTCTGGCACCAGAAAACAAACAAGAGGAGCCCAGACTGGTTTGCTGGGGGTTTTTAAATCACATTTTTTAAGCTCGTTTTGTATGAGCTTGGTATCTGAATTGTGGTGTTTCACTGCCTGCCTTCAGCAATCAGGGAAATACCTAAAATTTTGGCTGCACAGGGGTGTAAATCTTCCAGGGGAAATCTCTCAGGATTAGAGATACTCTGGGTTTCAGTGATGTCTTCACGGTCCCCATGGTGCAAGAGTGCAAAATGAGCCTGGGGCTGAGCTGACCCAGGCCCTGTGAAGAACAGCTCCTGTGGAGGGGTGAGGAAGAGCCAGGATTAGTTACAACAGCCTAAGTGGGCAGGGTTAGGCTGGGTTTAGGACTGATTATCACACCCTCCTTGTGGGAGCTCCCTCACTCCTCTCTTCCCAGCCCTCCTGGGCAGGTCCTGCTGAAGCCAACACCTGCCTTGTTGGCTGTTTTGTCACATTTCCCAAACACGGGCTGCAAATCCCAATTGCTCCAGAGGGTTTGGAGCACCAGGGAGGGTGTCTGGGTTTGACAGTGGCCGTGGCCCAGGGAGAAGCAGCAGGACAGGACATGGGCACACCAGTGATGAGCCTTGGCTGGGTGTGGGACATCCATCCCATGGCCCTGCTGGAAAACCAGGCCCTTGGAATCCTCCAGGTTACCAGGAATGCATAGGGAACATGGAGGAGAAACTTTTCCAAGTTCTGAGATGTGTTATTTGGTTTTGTGGATCGTTTCTCTTCCCTCAGGTTTCTGTATTTTTTGTAGGCATGAGTTTTCCCCCTTAGAGCCATGAAAAAAGCCACCCTCCACCACTGGCTTGCAATTGGAATAAAAAACATGAGACAGGGTAAAAAAATATCAACGGTTTGCAATTCTGAGTAGACATTGAGAAGCTGGAAGAGGCAGAATAAATTAACAGGGTGGTTTTAAACAGGGAGCCCAGAAGAAGGAGACAATTAAACCAGTCCTTCTTAGTCAGGCACACAGCATCTGGACCAGGTGCAGGTGGAAGATATCCATCTTCCTAAAGAGCAGGGGGAAAAAAGGAAAGCAAACCTCAGGGCATATTTGTACCAAACCTTCTTCTGTGTTTGCTGTGCACGAGATGCTAGAGGGAAAAAGGGAGGCAAACCCCCATTCCCCAAGTTTATGGCAAAACTGAACACATGTGGCTTTGGAAAGTCTGCACTGAGTTTTTTCACAGGGATTTGAGTTTTTTCACAGGGAAATGTCCAAGGCCGGGGTGGATGAGGCTTGGAGCAATCTGGGATAGTGGAAGGTGTCCCTGAGCAGCCACCTCACTGCATCCATAGGATTTCTTTGTAATTGTGCTCTTAGGGTTAACCTGGCCTTGGTCACACCTGGGAGGAAGGGAGGAAGG